GAGGAAAAACATTTATTCCATCAGTCGTGATCCGGTCTTCACACAAGCTTCCTATGTATCCCGTTTGATGATACGCCTTTTTTAATTAAAATACATTATCGATGAACTTATAAATGCAGCAAACGAATGTTAACAAGAATAAGTACTTAATAACTACAATCTCTGATGCACACACAATATAGTGTCTAGGGCTATAGCAGAGCATCAAAGTGACGGAGACAATGAAGTCCGTGCAAACGCGCGCCGACATCTAACAGACTCTATAACAATGAGAGCACCACGTTTTACTTGCGACGAGACGACGACGCCGACGATGGTTGCACAGCAGCATAGTGAGTGCCTACATGCTGCAGGTACCCCCTTATGCAAGCAATGACTAGAAAAAGTGTACAGTAATAGCAACGCATAGCTAAGATAGAATTCTACGTAAGATTTATTATACATTATGTGCTGCTAAGGTAAAAATCTGCACTACCAATAGAAGTATATGTATCTGTCTAACACAACATAGATTTCTGTCTTAACTGCACACAGCTAAGCAAATTTTCTTTTATTTTGAATTTGTTTTTTGTATTAGTATCAATAAAAATCATAATTTTCATCTTGGTATGATTAAAGAAAAGTTTTAGCATGAGAATATAAGGTAGTAGAGGTAAAAAGTAGAGGTGTAAAGCCAAAGGAGTTTGAGATCACCAGCAAATCAAAAAGTCCTATGGGAATTCTAAAATAGTGAGGATTCCGACACAGCTGTGTTAGAATCCGCACTGTCTTAGAATCCCCATGGTTTACCTACTTTTATTCACTGTTGTGTAACAACAGATAGCTATAATAATAATTACAAATTTTATACAATGTAATGGTAGACTTTTGTTTTTAGAACAATCTGAAAATAAACTTTTTATAATGTTGTTAAAATTATTTAACAGGTTATCTCCAGTTTTTAATGTCTTCATGGCTAATTTACCACAAGTTCTGGATCAAAACCATATTATGGGTACTTTTATGATTCAACCATTCCTATCTATATTGCAAAACTGCCCATGCCCACCCCATTACAAATTGTATGAAGAGAGTATAATACCAACGTTCAGCCTATGGCATTTAGAAGCCTATTGCAGAAAATCATGGCTTATGGCTGTGCTTGTGATACTGTACAAGGTGAGAAATTAAATTGTTTAATTAACATTATCCTCATTCGTTTTTATTTATCACTATAAATATACAATGTATTTGAAAGTAACAGCAACGACTT